ACATTCAGGAAGCCGGCCCCTGCGAGCGCCTTGTTACGCTTTGAAATCCCCTTTAATAACTTCGTTAATGGAAAGTTTGTTAGGCAGAACGCCAAGGGCAGCCACGGTACCCGAACAGTTTGAACACCGAACCGTCAGTTCTCGCAGAAGCAGGCCCTGAACCAGTAAGTGCAGAGTGCTAAGGGGACTCTTTACATTCCCCTCCGTTTAAAAGCACCATTCGTGGCCCGATTCCAGAGGCGCCCAGGAATACTGTTCACGCAAGTCAATGCGATCTCCAGTTTATTGGCTTTATTCATGTGCATAAAATCACAGGACGTGAATTTTGGCTCAAGTATGACAGCCTTTGGCCAAAAATACAGTAGCAGCAGCTAAATGGTAATAAATTCCCATCTTCATACAGTGTTTAAATTAATGCAATTTACTCCTCTAATATAATCGCCATTTTAAAGGCTTCTAGGTTTGTGCAAATATATCAAGAACTTTTTGCAGTGCAAACCCAATTTACTTTAACCTTTTTGTATCCGCAGTGAAACTGGCTGTGCAGTTACACTAAGCTTTGGAAAGAAACAGTTTCAAAGAGGAATCTAGAAGAGTGAGTTACAGAAAAACGATTATAACAAAATTCCCAGTGTTTCAATAATATTATTCAATAGTGACAAGTCTTGTGCCAAATCCAGCTTCAAAGCATTATCCAAAATCGTTACTCTGAGGTCACACCAGTCCAGAGAAGCACATCTAACACTGTTCGACCAGTGTAAAGACACACAAGTGAAAAACTGCCCAGGGAGACAACAGAAAGATGCCAGAGGAAAGATAAGAGCTCATTTGGGTGGTCTTGCCGTTCGATCACTGCTTGTTGGCTGCTTTTCTTTTTTCACCTAGGCCATATGGTCCAGGCTCTTTCAAGTGCCTCTTACAACATGGCCTAACCTGGTTCTGCTCACTTACCCAGACAGGATAATCTCGTTAATCTCATAATGGCCCTCAATTTTGAGCATGCATTGGCTTTTGACTAGACTTGTCTGAACAACTGCTTACTGTTTTATGGATGCATGTAAATGTGCTTTGCTTCCTTTCCCTTGCTGTTTGCTCCTTCTTTGGCCTACTACTGTTACTATTTCTGTGAAATTATGCAGCACTTCTAAGATCTCTTCTGTACAAGCTAGCGCTGGTCTCCCGTTCAGCAGCTTTGGCTGCTCTGGTTTGCACTGAAGCAACTTCAGATGGTACTAAGGCAGCCAGGTTCATCACTGCACGCTAGAAAATGTGCACGTGGATGAAAGGTGTTCATTGAACGTGGCACACAGAAAGTTGCCCCATGGGGACAGGGCAAACGGCACGCCAGCTTTCAGGACAAAGACAGTCTCTTGGAATCTTCACTTCATGCTGGCAGTCAGCACAATCTGCTGTGGTTTTGTGTTGGGTTTTTTGGTTTGGGTTTTTTTTCCCCCCTGAACTAGTTCTCTCTTCCTTCAACTATGACTTTTTACATCCCACTCTAGGAGACAAAATAGCAAGCATCTGGACCAGCAAAAATCCCACCATGCAACCAAATTGCAGTCATCTCCACAGCATCCCAGGGAGTGGCGATGACGCTTCATGTTCTCCGAGCGCCCATGCAGCGAGGTCGTCGGGAGAGAGCTCGTGCCATCACAGCGGAGATGTTCGCATACAGCTGACCTCTGCTGCGGGGGAAGCCAGGGAAAGCGCGAGTTCCCGGCCTGCGAGGCCGGGTTCCCAGAGCCGCTCACACGGACATGCCCACAGCGAAGCAGGGGGGCTCGACGACTCGACTCCAGACTCCGAGGAACGCAGCGGCGGCTCCCTCTCGGAGCTCAGATACCTCCTGCAGTGGCTGCACAAAAGCCTGCCGTATATCTTGATTCTGTGTGTCAAACTGATCACGCAGCATATAATTGGTAGAGTATAACTAAGGTCTGAGGGAACAGACCCTCCCCCCCCCCAGAGATACAGTAATAACCATGCCTGAAATATAATTCAGTTTATTTTTAGCTTTACTTTTATTTGCTTTATTCATCAGAAAGAGAGATTTACTAAACTTCATTTCAGTGGCTTCGGTTTCCTTTGCTGGCGTACGTACAATGTGCTTAATTATTCTGGCTTGATAGTCTAAGCTATTAATTGTAATTACAAAGCTGTATTAGAAGGGGCTGGCTTGGTAACCCAGTTCAGTGATTTTTTTTTTTCTTTTAATTTTATTTTCTTGTGTATAACTGACCCTTTTTTCCTAATAGGGATTTCTCTTGGAATTGGGCTGCTAACAACTTATATGTATGCAAACAAAAGCATAGTAAATCAGGTTTTTCTAAGAGTAAGTATCACCCTATGCAACAAAATTCTGTAAGTTAACCAAGACCTTTATCCATGAATTTCTGAAGGAAATGTGAATGGAGATACTGTTTTCCTTACTGAGCAGTATTAGGTGTCAGGGTTTCAAGATGGAAGTCTTAACGCTTCTCTTCAGTGTAGAGCTTCTCAGTAAGTAAGGTTTGCAAAATTCAAAGTTGTTTCCACCCCCCTCCCTTTGACTCTGAATATTGAAATCACTTCAACTGCTAACAGTTTTTTTTGAATTTGTGGAGCAACTTCTTACCTATATTTGTGGAATCAAATAGCAGTTGGCACGTTAAGCTTTCAACTGTCTCCGTTTACTCCCGAAGGAAAAACTGTTGTTTCTTCAGAGTGGGGCGGTTTTGGCTGTGTTTTTAGAAAAAATCTTGATACACACAGAAATTGTTAGGTTGAAAACATTACAATTACTGCTTTACCTTTCCATTGAGTTCTCCTATTGCATTTGGCCTGAAATGGCTAAGATAAAGTCCTCTGTTCAGGTGCAACACGCAGTGCTTTGGAGGTAGATCTAAGACACAGGTACCCAAATAAGCACTGTAATGTATCTTCCCAATTACCTTGCAGGAACGGTGCTCCAAGTTGCAGTGTGCTTGGTTACTAGTATACCTGACTGGATCGTCTCTGCTCCTGTATTACACCTTTCACTCTCAGTCACTGTATTACAGGTAAATAGAGGAACCTCTCTACTCACATCATAAATTACTCAGGTCTTAACTGGGAACGTTTTATCTGGGCTGCTGCTGTTTTTCTTGAATTGTGACATTGGTTCCTCTTTCATTCTAACCTCCGTTCCTCCTCTTCTGCCAAACTGGACGGGCACTGTCCTTAAAAACTGTTGGAATCTGCAAGGTTCGAGCCCATGCTCAACTTGACGGTACTGCTGTACGGCAGGGAACGCCGCTGGGTTTGAGGGCTAGCTCTGACCCCACCGCCTTGCCTTCCCCGTACGGAACGTGGCACCGCAGGGAGTTCTGTCTCCAGCTCATTCGTTTTCCCTCTACCGTTCTGCAGCTCCAGCCTTGGCTGTAAATCAGGCAAAGGCTGTGATACTGAAGTGGGAAAAAAGCCTGTCTCTAGAGGATGGGGGTTGTGGTGCAGATACAGGGAGGAAGGTTCAAAACTTGAAGGGTTGTCAGATACCAGAAACGATCAGTTTGCAGTAAAGCATTCGTTTTCTCAGTACGCATTTTTCCTCTGTGTAAACCAGGTTTACTCTTTTAATTAATTAATTTTTTAATTAAACCTGCCGTGATAACCTCGGCTTATGCTTTCCTCTAAACAGGGTGCTCCAGTAACTTCTGCTAATTCTTTTCGTAGCTTAATCTTTTTAAACCCTACTGTGGATTTTACGAACTTCTGGGAGGTACTTTGGATTGTGGGAGTCACAGACTTCATTCTGAAATTCCTCTTCATGGGCTTCAAGTGCTTTATTCTCTTGGTGCCTTCTTTCATGATGTCCTTTAAATCCAAGGTAAGAAAACAAGCTCTATTTTTGCTTCCTTATCAGGATCCTTTTATGGTAAAATTAGCTAATTATTAAATTCTATACAGAGAAAAACCTTTTAAATGAAAGGTCTGTATATAATCCACCACCACAGTGTGGGTGAGAAAACCCTGTGGGTTTCCTGTTCTTCCCTGCTTGGTGCTAAGGAAGGTTTACGGTCTCCTCTGAAACAATCACTTCTATTATAGCATCGGATAAAGGGGATCATTTCTGCCCCCTTTGATCGGCAGCAGGGGAGAATGTGTATGCAGGCTGGTGGCGGGGTGCTGCTGATGCACAGGATGTTTTTTACACCCTGGACAGTAACTGATGTGGGAGGATTCTAAGGGCTGCACATGCCAACAGCTGTATTTTCTGCGTCTGGAATAATTCTCAAGTCTCTTTTTGTTAATAAACGGAAGCAATATTTGTGTCAGATCAATTAATTTGATTTATAGCGTAATTCCCTGAACCAGTGAGGTTTAATGATTTTTATAGAAGCCTACGTTGGCTGGTGGAGTACTTTATTTGCTTCCTGAGGTGAGACATGCAAAAAGCAATTAAGTTTTATGTCAAATTAGTAAATATTAGTACTGTATAAAAAGAAAGAGCAGATACAGTTCGTACATGACAGCATTTGAACAGGATGTTTTGGTAGGTTTTATCTTTTCAAATGTACCAGGACAAAGTTTTTTTCGGAGACAACCAATTTCTCTAAATATCAGTTTACAATCAAGACTTATTTTTAATTTCTTTTAAGGCTAGTGATACAATATCCCAAAAATAATTGCTGAAAATTCCATTACACCGTGACCTAAACAGTGGCTAAATTGAAGAGAGAATCTGGTCAGTGGTGGCAAATCATGGCACCATCCAGTATACATTAGAGTACTTCTTCCCTGACGTAAATCTACTTTTAAAGACAAACTTAAGGAGAAAAAGTAAGAGCTCAGCTAATTATTTACGATTACACATGCACACACAGTGCTCTAGGCAGCGCTTCGCCATTGTTACTCAGTAATCTGTAGGGTGCCACTGAACTCTCTTTACCTGTTCAGTCCAGCTGCACTCTGCTTCTCCCCCTATCACCACCCTGTCCTACACAGGAGTTAATTATCACAACCCTACGGCTTCTTCCAGAGGCAAGAAATAATGCTTACAGGATAAGAGTTTGTAACTTAGGTTTATTAATAAAAGAATGGACCTTACTCTCATTTTTTAATCCTGAATGCAGGACACAACTCTGCTAATGACAAGCCGATCGACGTGACAGAATTTAATTTTCTTTTTTAGTGCTTATGAAATTAAGTCTGATGACACTGTTAAGTAGGTGGGCATCCAAGCTGTGTGGTGCGGTCGACATGCTGGAGGGAAGGGATGCCACCCACAGGGGCCTTGACGAGTGTCAGGTCCCTGTCAGGACCTTGGGAGCGCTGGCTGATGAGAAGCTCAACATGAGCCGGCCGTGTGCGCTGGCAGCCCAGAAAGCCAACCGTATCCTGGGCTGCATCCAAGGCATCGACCAGCAGGGTGAGGGAGGGGATT